AGCTATTAGCTATGAGTTATTAGCTATGAGCTATTAGCTATGAGCTATTAGCTATTAGCTATTAGCTACGAGCTGAGGGAACCTGAGAGGTCCAAAGAACAAACACCGAATCCACACAAAGAACCTGAATCAGCAAAGACACTGGGGCAGGTACGGGCTGGCTGGGGCAGGTACGGGCTGGGGCAGGTACGGGCTGGGGCAGGTACGGGCTGGCTGGGGCAGGTACGGGCTGGGGCAGGTACGGGCTGGGGCAGGTACGGGCTGGGGGCAGGTACAGGTGGAGAGAGTGTTGCTGATGCAGGAGGTTCAGGTGGCAGCCTCAGGAAGACAGACAGGAGACAGAACCAGGACCAGCAGGAACACATGGTGGTAGGTCCATGGTCCAGCAGGCTGCTGGGATGAGCTGGACCTGAAAGGAGCTGATCCGGCTCAGCTGATCCCCACAGCTGACTCCAATCATCAGGCTGAGCAGGGCTGGTGAGCAAGGAGGAGAGAGAGGGGCTGGGGCGTCATGACAACCAGAACCTTCCTCCTCCTGGTTCCGACCCTGTAGAACCAGAACCTTCCTCCTCCTGGTTCAGCCAGTGTTTCCTGGTTTTTACATCTACGATGAACAAACAATCAGAGAAACGTTCCTTCTCTCTGGTCTCCATGGTTCTGACTGAGTCCTGCTGACAGCAGACGTCTCTGAGTTCTGTCTCCTCCTTCATGTGGTTCTGGTTCCTCAGAGCTGCAGGACTTTAGTGAAACCTGAAGCTCAGTGAAGGACCATGAACCAACTTTGCTTCATCTGCCTGCTGTGGCTGTTTGGGGACGATGAGGAGGAGAACAGTTGATCCCACATTTCCCACAATGCACCAGTGACTCAGTGACTCCTGATGACCGTCCACATCTTTAAAACTGGTTTCCTGTGAGCGACATGCTGACTAAAGATCTGACTGTGGACCCCAGCAAGAACAGCCCATGCTGGTGCTGGTGCTGATGGGGATCCTAACTGAAGTGACAGACAGCAGTTTGTGGATCATCTTCAGCTCCACAGAAGGAACCTGGTGATGAGGCCTCATTAGAACCCGTCCCAAGATGAAGGAACACGGCTGAACCTTAACACACACACTCAATGAGACGATGGATCATCAACCAGAACATCTGGTTCTGTTTCTGCAGCACCTTTATCTACTGACCAGAGTTCTACCTTCAGACTGTGAATGTTCCAGAGGTCCAGGTCCTTGAAGTCCACAGAGGAGGGTCCAGATTGATCACCTTAATGGACTTTTTCCATCATTTCTGAGCCTCAGAACTTCACCAGAACACATATTAAAGAGTTCATGATAAAACTGTCACGTTGGCTGTAAACACAAAACACGACATGAGCAGGATCAGGTTCATCCATCAGGACTTTATTATTAGATCATCTGAACCAGGGGAGTCCTGAAACACCTCAGACCTGCTCAGGTTCTCCCCTCAGCTGGGAAATTTTCTGGACAAGAGCCGAACATTTGACAGGTTTCCAGCGGTGGTTTCGTGTTGGTCCGATCTGACTGTGTAGGTCGGGTCTGACGCTGGTTTCGTGTTGGTCCGATCTGTGGTTTCAGGGAGTTTTTCACGCGTCACAGAGCTGCATTTAAATGTTGTCACTGAATGTGTTCCCCGGTTGGTCAAAAGCAGAAGAGCTGCTCAGAGCTGCTTTCACTTCTGCTGCCACCTTAAGAGTCAAAGCGGAGTCGATCCGTGACGCTATGACACGAGAGGGAAAGTTGGTGTTTTCAAAAAGCAGAAGAAAATCAGCGGTTTGTTGACGAAGCTCAGAAAAGGTCGACAAGAATCAATGAAGACAGAGAACCAGAGACGGAGCAGAACCAGGCTTCTGTTAAACTACTGAACATGTGAAAGCTGAACTCGGACTCAGGGGGCTCTGAACTGAAGCAGGCAGCGACTGGTACCAGAACCGGGTCAAAGTAACCAGAACTATAGACACTGAACAATGTTTAAACGTCCATCTTTGGCCTCTGTGACCTTTAATCTGCAGGATGAAGCGATGCAGCACTCAGAGAAACCTGCAGCCTTAGAAGGAGTTTAATCAGTTAATTATCTTCTGCATGAACCAATCAGCTGTTTGTCCATCAACATGGATCAGAGTTTCCTCAAACATCTGGTTCAGTCCAAAGATCTTCAGTTGACTGTCACAGAGGAAAGAAACCAGAAAACATTGACCGTGAAGAAGCTGAAATCACAGAATTTAGACTTAATTTAACAGCTCAGTGTCCAATTCAATAATAATTCAGGCGAGTCCAGGGAAAATCTAATTCCTGGCCCAGTGTTGGTTCTGGTTCTGGTCATGGATGGTGTTATGGTTTGTGTGGTGACGGTGAGGCTCCTCAGAGGAAGTCATTCTGAGCTTACGAACATGTGGTTCTGGTTGCTTCGGTTCGGACAGCAGAGCGCCAAACGTTTAGTTCTGAAATCGATGAAAACGGGCCCAAAGGTTGAATGTGTTTGGGTGTGTCCTGGCAGAACCCAGGTTTGTTAAAGAGTTCTGACCTGGTGACCGATCAGACTGGAGATCACATGAACACTGACACTGAACCAACCTGATCCAGGACTGACAGCTCCTATAGTTTCTACTAATAATCCTCCAGAACTTGGTTCTGACTGTTCTGTTCGGTTCTACGCTGATGACTCTGTTATTTATATGTTAACACGATGGGACTGACGTTAAAGCTCTCTGCAGTCAGTCTCCTACAGAAACACTTTCAAAACAACGTTCTGTCCGTATCTAGTCTGTGATGGTTCTCAGTCCTGCTGGTTGTGGGGACCTTAAGCGGGTCAGTTAGAAGCAGCTGGACTTGTCTTTTTCCTGATTGACAACTTTTCACCTTCGTCCAAGACACTTCCTGAGTTCTAACTGACCAACCCGTCACTCGCATGATTCAAGGTGCTGATGATGGTGGACCTGCCTGGGGAGGGGTCTCAGGATGGCATAATGAGCACCTGATAGGAGAAACATCTCAGTCCAGTTACCTTCTACAGAAGGACTCAGGACTGCTAGGACCTACAGATATGATAACCGACACAGACCTACTGGCCCGGTAGCCCGTACAGGGATTAGGCCCTAGTTCTAGATTAAATCACGTTGTAAACCAGGACTTAGGGAAATGGCTTTCTGAGACACGGATTAAACTAGTCTGGAGTTGTCCTAGTGTTGGGTTAAATAATCTCCTTTCCTGAAGAGAGACTAGAGCTAATCCAGGTCTAAATCAAGACCTAAATTAGACCTGGCCATAGGCAGGTTTAGCTTCAGAGTAAAGACTGTATGCCTCACGGGGAAACTGGACTACCTGGACTACATCGATGACGCTGACAGACCTCCACCCAGACCAGAGAGACGCCTGCTCAGAGACAGGAGGACCAGAATGAACTTGATGTTAGACTTCCGTGACCGTTTCGTATGTACAGACACAATGCAGCTGAAATCTTTGGTTTGCTCCAGACAAAGCTTTCATGTGACTCAGTGAGGGGAACCTCTAGACCTCCCTCCTTACAGGCACGGATCATCTTGAGGCTCTTGGCATGTGGAGCCTTCCATCGTCAAACAGGACTGTGTGGTCTGAGTGAATCCAGTCTGCAACGTACTGCACAAAGTCTGCAAAGCCATACGTGAGTTCCCTGGTGCTGCTGATCAGACCTCCTACTAGGTACAGGTCTATGAACACGGGACCTCCCTGGAGCCGGTGGCTGTATCGATGGATGTCATGTTCCTGGTAAGTGTCCTTCAACAGAAGATGCTGAGCTGTACCGGAATCATAAACACTGGCTGTCAGTAAATGTAGGAGGTCTGGGTCAGGGTCTGGACTCCCGCTATGCAGCTCTCCAACGTTGGAGCGGTTCAACATGACTCAAGGATTTTCCAGAACTCCTCTTTGTGTGCTCAGGGTTAGGGTGTGAAGCAGGACAAACCTCTTGTTCACCTCTCCATCCAGTCAGACCTGAGCAACAGCGCCACCACCAGGCTCACGTCCACCAGAGGGCCAGTGGAGCGCATGTCTGCTACCTGGAGGAATGGCCTCCCTTGTCTCAGGAACACATGCTGTGTTGTCATTGGGCCAGGCGGTGCTTCACAGTTACCTGAGACAACATGGCTGCCCACACAACAACCCACATGTTTCCACGGCAGCTGTAGTCAAAACTGGACCCGCTAACGGAGACGCCGTCGCTTTGCAGCACCTCTCATCAAACTATGTGTGGAGTGACACACGAGTGAGTTCTGCTGCTCTGCTTTCTGTCGAACACTCATGTTTTCTGCATAATGTGGTGAAGACGAAGCGGAGGGAGATAGTTCACTGCAGAACAGAACAGAACAGAACAGAACAGAACAGAACAGAATCTTTATTGTCATTGAAACAAGTACAATAAAATTAAAAAGTGCCAAACCAAGAGAGCAACATTCATGACAAAATAAAACTAAAGACTATAAAAACTGTAAAGAGCAATTACAAAAATAAATGTATTTAAGTAATTACCTGCAAACAGCCCCATACGTCCATCTCCTGCAGCATGTGTTATGTCTTTATTCAGTGTGCTTACTGCTGTGGGCTAGAAGCTGTCTCTGACCCTACTCGTCCTGGTTCTGAGTGATCTGAACCTTCTATCAGACGGCAAAAGTTCAAACAGGTACTGACCCGGGTGTGACCCGGGTCCTTCATCATGTTCTGGGCTTTTTGAGACAGCAGTGGCGGCGCAGGTCTTCCAGAGTGAGGAGACGGCAGTTGTTATTGTCCTGTGTTTAATTCACAAAGGAACCAGGTGAACAGGAGCATCAAAGAGCATCGACGTCTCTCTGATAGACGACTCTACACTGGAATCAATGAGTACTGTGATTCATGCTCATGGAGCTCTACACAAAGCTCCTCATGAATGGTGGACCTCTTCCCTCTGGGCCTGCTGCCTGGTGGAGATGCTGCTGCTGCTGCAGGGACAGATGTTCTGGTCTCTGCTCTGGCTCCTCTAACATCTGGTTCAAGCTCAGGTCATCTTCTTCTAGAAAAGGATTCCAGCATTAGACAGAAAATACAGATACACTCACACACACAGTAACACACACACACAGCAACACACACACAGTACCACAGTGTTGGTTCTGGAGGTGGACCAGCTCAGGGCTAGCCTAGCTCAGTGAAGGTCTACACGCCTCCTGGAGCTGCTGTCTGTGGACCTGGTCCATGTTCTGGTTCCGGACGAGAGGCTGCAGCTCGGACATCATTGGTTCATTTAAGTTCATTTAATTTATAAACACCAATGTTAGCACAACCTGCGGCTAAGCTAACGCTAACTAGCACAGCACAGCCTTATTCTGTGTTTCTCCAACGTATGTATACATCTGTATATATTAAAGTGTATGAAACACTGTGGTGTGGTGAATGTGTGGCACACGTTGTGTTCTTCCACAGTAACAGTGCGCTTGTGCCACGAACCTTTCAGAGAAAAGCAGCTGAGCTTTCCATCCTGGCGGCAGATAACTTCCTGGTTGTCATAGCGCTAACACTGACAGCAACCAATCAAATGGGCCGAGTGGTCATGTACTGCATTATGATTGGTTGTTGAAGTCGGGAGGCGGGTCTAGTTGGCAGAGGCCAGCGGGGTGTGTTCACGAACACCACGTTGTTCTCTGCAGCCTGGAACGAATGTTACTAAGAACTGGGTTAAGTTTTCTCAAGACCGAACTTTAGAAGTAATAAAATGTATGATTTTAATGTACAAAAGCCTCATTTCATAATTCACAAATGCATAGTTTTAATAGTTTAATCCTTTCTATAAATAATAATAATAATAAATTAATCAAAGCAACGTATATAAATAATTCTAAAATCCTTTCTAATGTTTTAATAGTTTAATCCTTTTAGCTAAACTTTCTGTCCACTTGTCCATGAATCTTCTGATGCCTGAAACACAACAAGGAGAAACAAAATGACACCAATGAGGCACAAACGGACACGAAGGACAAACAAAATGATAAAAAAGAAACACAAAACCTCATGAAAGACACAGAGTGACACAAAATAAAAGCAAAACCCACTAAAAGGAGACAACAGAGCAAAACAGGCACACAATGACTAACAGAGGTACAAAAGGACAATAAGGTGTCACTACATCAGTCTACTACATCAAAGAGACACAAAATGAACACGAAAAGATGTAAAATAACCCCCAAAATGCACAAAACGGGACACACACAACAGCAGAAACACATCTAGTATCCACAGCGACACACAAAATGAACAAGGGAGAAGAACCACAACAGCAAACACACATACAAAGAAACCAAAGACACACAAAGACATGCAACAAGACACACAAACAATAAATGAGACAAAATGACGTCAGACACACAAAAAATTACCACAATAAATGCAAACTCACAACAAAGAGACACAAAAAGATGTAACACAGCCAAAAACACACAAAACGATCACACAGATACACACAACGACACCAGAACATACAAAATTATGCAAAAAGGACACAAAGCATCTGCAAGGGAAGCAAAAGTGAGCCAACGACATTAAAATGAGCAGAAGGAGACCCAGAACCAGGACAACACTGATGCTGCTGGAGTTCCAAACGGTTTCCTGTTCATCGTCAGAACTCTGAGGAACTGTTCTCATCACTTTCATCATATGTTTGCTGCTGCAGGAGGACCGATGTGTTTAAGCAGACACACACAGTGTAATCACAACTGTGACGCGTCCCTGCTGTAGTGACTCTGCATCTTCAGTCATCCCCATGTTCACAGTTTCTCAACGTCCAGCCTCGGTGCAGTACCGGCCTGGCACAGTAGAGGGCGCTCCACAGCAGCTCAATCACATGGAGGGCCTCTGCAGAAACAGCAGGCAGTTGAAAAACGCCTTTTAAGGGCATGAGCCTTACTGTGTGAGCTGGGTGTGCTGCATTGTAATGAGGCCTTGCAGGACAGTCGGTGAATGAAGGTGACGCGCTGCCATCTGCCCACGTCGGGTAAACAGGATACGGTGGTGAAGCCGAGGGCGCAGCAGCAGCAGCATGTCAGCGCCGGAGCTCCTGGAGAGCAGCTACTGCAGTAAAAGCACTGATAACAGGGTTTTACAACCACCAGGATCACACATACAGTCACAGTTACTGATTTAAAATGTTATCCTGAAACATGGCTGAACCAGCTCGCCTGCTCCCTCAGTGTCCTCCAGTTAAACATCTTATAGCTTTAAAACCTCTCATGCAAATGTGACTAAACCACGATATGGTGAGAATGCATGGTGTCATAAACCTGGAGGTGTAAACTAGGAGCTGTGAACATGAGATGCTTATTTCCTCTGTTTCTCAAGCCCCCCTACAGCGACACAGACACACAAAGTCCAACGTCCACGTCCATCCAGAGCAATCTCACTGCAGGAAAGCTGTTTAATGAGGCCAGTGAGCTCCTGCAGAGCTAAAGTGTCGGCAAAGAGACAAAACGACACTACAAAGACACTAAATCACACAAAGAGAGACACAAAACAACCACAACGAGACACAAACTTATTTTAAAAAGTCACAAAATGACACTCAAGACACACAAAAGGAGAACAAAGAGACACAACAACTGTAAAGAGAAACACAAAATAACCAGAAGAGACACAAAATGGCACTACAGACACACAAAGGCTGAAACACACACCAAAGGACTACAGTAAGACAGTAAAGGACTACAATAAGACAGT